CTTATACTTTTGTTTTGTGTTTTACATGCGGGGAGACGCCGAGGAGTTCTCAGTGGCTGCTTATAAAGGCAGTAAGTACACTGGGCATTGTCTGATTGGATAAGGCACTTGGAAGGGAGGAGACAAACTCTGCACATGCGCTGAGCACTTGTTTGTCAGACTAACAGCAGGGTTTGACCAGGAAGTGGGCGCCATCTTGGAATGGCGTTGCCACCGCGCCCCACACAGATGACCATTCAAAATGAAATGCTTTGTGATAGGTAATATGATCGCTATTTAAAAATGTGGAAACTTTATTGATAAGATCAGAAAGCTAGTAAGTGAAAGAATTGGACCCAAATCTGTCTGCCTCCTAACCATTATGCTAACTACCAGCCCCTGAATAAATCTTCAGAAACATTTTTTGGAAGTGGAGACTATTTCTTGCCTAGTCAAGGAATGTACTTGATACCAGTAAGATATCAGCATTCCAGAGAAAAAGCTCTACTTTTCCCCTGAAACTATCATGGGTTCAATGCCCTCTTTCTCTAAAGAGATTGCACCAATAGTCAGCCACCTGTACAGGGAAAGGTCTGCCTAGTCCAGTAGTCCTCAAACTTGGCTACACATTGGTGTCCCTGGAAGGAGCTTTTAAAAATGCTGGCCCCTGGATCTCACTTCCAGAGATTCTGACTTAACTATTCTGGGATGTTCCCTGGACGTCAGGATTTGTTAAAGCTCCTCAAGTGATTCCAGTGTTGACAGCCACTGGTCTAGTCTGGTGCTTTCAAACTTTCATGAAGCACGTAGAGATCTCATTAAAATGCATTCTCATTAAGTGTTGGGTGGGATCCAAGGATCTGTATTTCTAACAAGCTCCCATATGATGCAACTGCTTCTAGCCGACCTTTTTACTGTGATGGAGTCTGTGCAAAGTGACAAAACTGCTTTCCTCCGTGCTAACTGGGGGGGGGGCAAGGAGCAGGTCATGGTGTTAAAAACTCAGCTGGAACAAACAAAAGGGGGAGGGCAACTCCTGAGAAAAACAGACCATCAGAGAGGACAACAGTGTAGGGTGTCAGGAAAGCGGTCAGCTGCCCCGCCAGAAGGGAAGTGCTGGGGATGTCAAAAGTGGAGGAAGGACCCCTGTTTGAGGACCCTGTATCTGTCCTCACCGTCCCCTAAAAGTGCAGGCCAGGAAAGAAGCAACATCATCAGCTTCCATTCTGAAACTGAGGGAAGATTTTCTACTTGGGGATGTGTTTGGAAAGCAGTGGGGAATGGTTCAGTGACAGAGTTCAGTCTCCTAAGAGATCAGGGAAGTTGACCCAGGCAGCAACAACTGCTAAGGGACTGAGATGTGTGCAGGGGGGTAGGGCTCGGAGCAGGGCAGCGTGCCTGTGAGTGATGCACGTGCAGGCACTTCCCTGGGAGCTCGCCTATTTTTCAACATAGCACACCTGCCCATAAGAGAAAGGGTGGTAGGCCGATTCGGTGGCTCACGCCTGTAATCCTAGCACTCTGGGAGGACGAGGTGGGAGGATCGCTCGAGGTCAGGAGTTTGAGACCAGCCTGGGCAATAGAAAAATGAGCAACAGAAAAATGGGCCACAGAAAAATGTTTCTGGGCAACAAATGAGCCAAATTAGCAGGCCATGGTTGTATGTTATGTGCCTGTAGTCCCCGCTACTTGCGAGGCTTGAGCCTGGGTTCTTGGGATACATCAGTGAAGAAAGCAGACTGAGACCCAGAACTGGTAGAGCTTACCTAGTAGTGAGAATAGGAAGGTGTTTGCAAGATTGGTTGCTTTTCTCCAAAATATGAAAAGCATAGGATCACAGTTAACCTTGGAAATTTCTATATAATGTTAAAATTTATAAGTGAGATTTTTTTTTCTCAGATAATCATGAAAACATCTCTCTCTCTGTTCAGCTTGTCCTGCCTGCTTTTTAAACACAGCTATCACCAAGTCTGTGTATGAACAACAAAGAGAGATATATGTTTTGTTTTAAGACTTGAGCCTTGGGAAGAGTTTTGTTTGGGAAATGCAATTTTCAGGAAATTGGTGTTTTGATTTAAGCCTGCTCTAGTGCTCAAAACCTTCTGAAATATTTCCTTTTTTTAAAAAAAATTCTTCCTTTCTAATATAGCTATATTGGGTTGGGGTTGTGATATTCTATAGAACTATAAAGAATGCAACATACCAAAATATATTTCACTACACAACTTATTTAAAGCAACCTACAACAATATGGGGTTCTTCCTACAAGTATTAAACATATTCTCATCTTTGCCTGGTGTGGTAGGTAGTTCATGCCTGTAATGCCAGCATTTTGGGAGGCCAACGTGGGAGGATCGCTTGAGGCCAGGAGTTTGAGATCAGCTTGGGCAACATAGCAAGATCCCATCTCTACAAAAAATAGAAAAATTAGCCAGGCATAGTGGCATATGTCTGTAGTCCCAGTTATTCAGGAGGCTGAAGCAGGATAATCGCTTGAGCCCAGCAGTTTGAGGCTACAGTGAGCTGTGATTATGCCACTGCACTCGAGCCTGGGTGACAGAGCAAGACCCTATCTCAAAAAAAAAAAAAAAAATCTCTTATCTTAAAAGAACAATTTTCCCTCAAACATACTTCCCATTCTAGGCACTGCATATACTACTACTCCTCTCTCCTGGTAACACTCAAGGTTCCTAAAAAAGTTGTTTACACTCAAATCTCTCTTTTTCATCTTCCTTTACATGTTCTTTTTAGATTAGAGGGTTTTTGTTTGTCTGTTTTAAAGACAGGTCTCACTGTGTCACCTGAGCTAGAGCATGGTGGCTACTCACAGGCACAGTGATAGTGTACTGCAACCTAGAACTCCTGAGCTCAAGCGATTCTCCTGCCTCAGCATAGTGTACTGCAACCTAGAACTCCTGAGCTCAAGCGATTCTCCTGCCTCTGGAATAGCTGAGACCATAGGCACAAGCCACCACACCCAGCATTGCATGTTCTTAATATTTGTTCAATAAATACAGGCTAAGAGTGATATAAAGGCAAAAAAAAAATAGTTAAAACAATCATTAGAACAGAAAATATCTTCTCTGGTATTCTCTCGATTTTAGAATTTCAAGACTAGTTTGAGAAACAGATACAAATATTAGAATCATTAGGAGATGTAATTAAATTTATACAGATCCATTGGGGGGTCGGTTCAAAGAGCAAGAAGCTCCTGTTTTCAAAAGCAAAAAGGGAAATGTTAATAAGAAATTGGTTTTGTTATTCTCAGATAAAAATATATTTATATTTTCAGGGAAGTCAAACTTTTCCCAGAATCAATCTAGAAATGATTTGGGAAGAATGATAGGTTCATTATTAACAACAGCCTTTGTTCTATGGAACTGCTGCTTGAACACAATTTTGAAATCTTATGAACATATAGAAGTATGTTCTTTTTTTCAGTACAGGAAAAATATTCATATCAGAAAAAAAGTTATGAATTTTAACATAAAAGTTCAAGAGATTGAGGACCCAGCATAGTTGTGTTTGACATTGCTCAACAGTTATCTCATGTCTCAGCTAATGGTTTCTGCCAGCCCATATGCTAACATGAATATTAATAGTTGGGTTAAAGGCAAATTATATATAAAGATTAATATTCAGTAACCCATAGACACATTGTATCCACAAAACCAGAGGCCAACCCAAAGAAGATTCTTTGCCAAAAATAAGAAAGCAAATCTAGCCAATGTAGGCAGAAAAGAACATAATGTGAACTCTTCTGACTATTCAAAGAATTGGCAGAAAATCGGAGAGGCATTTGTCCTTCGAACAAGGACAAGTACCAAGGGAGGTTGCATGAGGAACCACAGTCAAGATTATATACCAGAAAAACTGAGGATAAGGCAATGGTGATGATGGAAGTTGCCACCACTGGATTCCGCAGACACTGGTACTATGACCATAAAAAATATGTTACTTCTGATAGATATATCCAGAAAGCAAATAAAACAACTGAGCCATTAATGGCTAACAAGTAGCCATTTCTGAACTACATTTTCTCCTATAAAATATTAACCAGAAAAGCCTAGAACTTCAGTTTATTAGTGGTAAGCTGGCTTTAAAATCTAAATATGCTATTAAATAAGTAAAAGTTTTTGGAGAAGGAAAATATAGTCAGATTTGAATTGAGAAAAAACTGCTAAGGAGCTATGGGGAAGGAGTCACTGAAAGACAAGACTAGAGGTGGCTCAACAAGACCCTGTAAATGGCTATCACAATAATAGTGAATCATGAATAGAAAGTAAGGTAGGCCTAGACAATGGCAGTGATTGAGAACTAAAAGGGGAAAGAAGTTTGGAGAAAGAAGTTGGAAAACCAACAAAACATGGGGACTCATGGAAAATGGCAGAAGACAGGGGGAAGGCACGGCCGTGTTAAGTTAGCGGGAGTTATGAAAAATGGCTCCCAGTTTTTTTGCTTGTATATAGAGGTAATAAAAGTCAGGGTTGCTCATTTAGATTTTCAGCATGTGAATGTGAGGTATCTTTGAGGCAATTACAGAGAAACTGTAGTTGGATTCAGGAGAAAAGTGAGGCCTATGTAGGACCATAATGATGACAATGATTTCAAATTAATATGTGTGCAGGGAAGCTGGAAACCATGAAAGTGGTTGAGGTTGCCAAGGGAATTCAAGCGGACACCAACATTTAGTGCTTGGGCTAAATGTTAGGGTCCAGTGAAGAAAACAGGTAAGAATGGTCAGAGAGCTGGGGGTGTGGGTGGGCAATGCTGCACACCATGATTATATACGATAGGAGGAAGGTGAGGGGCACAAATAGCATCAACATGCAGAAATGGTCACAAATGTCAAATACTTTGGAGAAAAGTCTTGACCAGAGTCCATTGGATTCAGCATTTGGGAGATAACTGGTGATCTTAGATTTCTGACCACAGTGGGTAGCAGAGTAAATGACTAGGCAGAGAGACACACACAGGCCATGCAGTCAGACATAGCTGGGAGTGAATTCAGGGTCACCTACCTTATACAAAACAGGGAGACAGACAGGCTCCTTCATTTATCTAAATGTCTGGCTCCTCATCTGCAAAATGAAAATAAAAATACATAATACAGAAATGTCATACACTCAAGAATTGCATATCTTCAAGACGTGGCCCTTTACCTGGTCTATTTCCAGAGTTTAATATTCTGCCTGGCAAACAGTAAACAGTTTTTTTCTTTTTAATGTTTTATACAAGCCAGTTCATAGTTAGAGTCATAAGACAACACTCAGCAAAACAATCACATCAATTGACTTAGAAATCAAATGCAGATACATGGGAATATACTATTTTAAATCTGTCTTTTTTTTTTTTTTTGAGACAGAGTCTCCCTCTGTTGCCCAGGCTAGAGTGCCATGGCATTAGCCTAGCTCACAGCAACCTCAGACTCCTGGGCTCAAGTGATCCTCCTGCCTCAACCTCCCAAGTAGCTGGGAGTACAGGCATGTGCCACCATGCCTGGCTAAGTTTTTCTATGTATTTTTTTTAGTTGGCCAATTAATTTCTTTCTATTTTTAACAGAGACAGGGTCTTGCTCTTGCTCAGGCTGCTTTCAAACTCCTGACCTTGAGTGATCCTCCTCGGCCTCCCAGTTAAATCTGTCTTTTTAAGTGAACGTTAACCATTTATTCAAAGAATTTGAAGGAATAAAGTCTTCTATGACACAAAACCATTTCAAATAGTTTTGTGTCTCAGCTGAACAGGAAGAGACAGGGTAAGGAGTAAGTGAAGAGGGGTCTGGGCTCAGAGGCCCATGACAGTAATCCCAGTACTTTGTGAGGCCTAGGTGGGAGGATTGCTTGAGGCCAGGAGTTTGAGACCAGCCTCTACAAAAAATAAAAAGTTCGTTGATTGTGATCATGCATGCCTATAGTCCCAGCTACTTGAGAGGCTGAGGCAAGAGGATTGCTAGAGTCCAGAAGTTTGAGGTTGCAGCGAGCTATGACGATGCCACTGTATTCCAGCCTGGACAACAGAGGGAGGTTCTGAAGAAAAAAAAAGTACGCCTGATTTAGGCAGTTAGACCATTTTCATGTTGGAAGGCCACATTAATTTAGCTGTGATCAAATAAGGCTGCATTCAAGAAACTTCAATTAGATAGACATTAAAAATGTACATTATTTTGTAAAAATCTCCAACTACTATGTACTTACTACTTTCCAAAATGAAAACTATTTTTAAATTTTATTTATTTTATTTTATTTTTTGAGGCAGAGTCTCCCTCTGTTGCCTAGGTTAGAGTGCCGTGGCATCAGCCTACCTCACAGCAACCTCCAACTCCTGGGCTCAAGGGATCCTGCTGCCTCAGCCTCCCAAGTAGCTGGGACTGCAGGCATGTGCCACCGTGCCCGGTGTCCAGGCCCGTGGGACCTTCTGTTACTCTCGGGGGTCAAGGGGGACCTTGCCTGAAAGAGATGGGCGAGAGAAAGGAACGAGACCAAGCAAAGGGTTGTCAAGGTCTACTTTACTTGGATTTTTAGTAGGTTTTATGTACAGAAACAAGGAAGTAGAAACAGAAAAATAGAGTGAGGGGATGATGAGGCTTGGGTGTGGGCTAATCAGCCCCAATCAGTGTCCCAAAGGCACTGGAAGCTGTTTGTGATTGATCATTCAACCCCAACCTGGCAGGGGGTTGGGAACAATTGCAGGTAGCATGCCCTGGAGCAAGCACGTCATGGAATGCATTCTTCTCGGAACTATAGCTGGAGGGCTGGGTGCTATTTTCATCTTAGGCTATTTTCCGGGGTGAGGCCTGTGCGTAGGACAAGTCGTTGGGATGTGGAGGGTCTTAGTCTCCAACAGCCCGGCTAATTTTTCTATATATTTTTTAGTTGACCAATTAATTTCTTTCTCTTTTTAGTCGAGACGGTCTCGCTCTTGCTCAGGCTGGTTTTGAACTCCTGACCTTGAGCGATCCTCCCACCTTGGCCTCCCAGAGTGCTCGGATTACAGGCATGAGCCACCGCGCTGGGCCTGTATCTGCTTTTTGTTGGAAAGCAGTTGAATATTTGGTTGCATCATGGAGGTCCAGTTTCAGTTGATCCTCTAGATGGGTATTAGCCATTTGTGACCTTACAGGCCTCTTGATCTGGGTTAGGTAGGAGAATGTAGATTCACAGCAATGAGAGGCTGAAAAGCAAGAAAGCATTTTTCAGGCATGATGCCAAAGGTGGGGGTATTCTGCATTTTTCCAAATTTCAATTGGACTTTTCTTAGCATCAAACAACGACTTTAAAATATCTACTGAGAGCTCAATTAATTCCATCTGTAGTTCTTTAGGTGCCTTGGTGATATCAACTAGGTGAGGCTGAAATGGTAATTTGAATGTGATGTCATGATTCTCAAAGTCAGCCAATTTTTCATTGTATTCTCCCATTAATAGGTCCATAACAGCTGTGTATTCTTCAAATGATTTGCATATATCATCCTGCTCATCAATGATTTATCCTAAGGGGGGGGGGAATGTTCATCTGAAATTTCCTTTTAAAGAAGAAATGTTTTGAAAAAACATTTGAAAAAAGATAGCTTTTTTCAAAATGCTTGGATTTTTTGCCACATATCATGTATAGACTTAGTTTTACCTTGGAAAGAAATATTCAAGTTTTTTTGATTTGATGTGATATCAAAAAGAAATGCTGCATTTCTATAAAAGTCTTCTTTCAATAATTCACACTGCCGATGCTGTTCTTCATAAAATTTAAGTATCTGTTCTTGCAGAGATAAAACTTTGGCTAACACCTGTTCCTGAGATGGCCAATGCACTTTAGAATGATATGGCAAATCCACACTGAATACTTCATGATTCAATTTTAGCATGTTATGAAACTGATGATATGTAGTTGCATTTGCACAAATATAGTTAATGATACTTAAAACTTGTTGCAAAGTGTCACTTGAAATAGTAGCTTTAGCACAGAGATTTTGCTGATGGAAGATCAGTAAAAATAAATGAGAGTGTCTGCATCTGTTAATACTTTTTTCATCTGTACAGTAAACACTTCATGTTTTCCTATCATGTCAAAGACTCAAGTCTTGGATTTGGGAACAGTCTTAGTAGAAGATAAATTTCCATGAAGATAAATCCATGTTCTTGGGCAAAAGCTTCAGCTTCTGAATTCACTTCGCTTCTAGATTCTACATCATTTTTATTTCTAATAAGCATGATGGCCACGTGAAATTGGCATGCTGGCGGTCATCTTCTAACACCATTGTCAAGTGGTTGAGTGTATCTCTCCTTGCAATATCAATAAAGAAAACCCCCATCTTTTACTTGGCAAATCAGCCACTTGAGACCCCACCCCTCGACCACCTCAACTTAATAAAAGTGGGAAAAATCGGGTAGACGGGGCTCAGAATTTGGTGGTGATGACGAATAAACTTTGATTCTCTGACTCCGTGTGGCGCTCTGTTTGTCCTGGGAACCACCCGCTGTGACACTTACAGTAACAACATCACACCCTAAGGAAGCCCTGGGGCACCTCTGGAATATGGCTTTAAGGTGGAACGAAAGGACACCTGCCCTGCCACATTCCATATCTGAAGGTGTGCCTGTTTCCCATCAACCGTTGTCCCTCAATCACCAAACTCTACACCAATAGTAAGGTTATGCAAGGGCTGAAAACTCTTGTCTGTAAACTGTAGCTGTAAGAATGATGTACTAACACCTGGGTCGCTCACGATGCTGTACTTGAAGAGAGAGGCGTGGGCCATGGCTCCTCCTCCTGCTACAGCTCCTCCGCCATCCTTACCCCGCGCTGCCCCAGCTGCTTGGAGGGCCGAGCAGACTCGCGGCAAACTGGCGCAGTGGGGCCGAGTCCCGGCCGAGCCCAGCCGAGCCTTACCGAACTCCGCCGAGTGCCCGCCGAGCCCAGCCGAGCCTTACCGAACTCCGCCGAGCCCAGCCGAGCCTTACCGAACTCCGCCGAGTGCCCGCCGAGCCCAGCCGAGCCTTACCGAACTCCGCCGAGCCCAGCCGAGCCTTACCGAACTCCGCCGAGCCCAGCCGAGCCTTACCGAACTCCGCCGAGCCCAGCCGAGCCTTACCGAACTCCGCCGAGTGCCCGCCGAGCCCAGCCGAGCCCCGCCGAGCCCAGCCGAGCCCCGCCGAGCTCAGCCGAGCCCCGCCGAGCGTAGCCCAGAGGTAACAGCGCGGGAAGCGCCTTTGCTCTGCCTCTGCCCTGAGTGAACACGCCTTCTGGACCTAAATGATTATTAATTGAAGCAACTATGGCAGCAACGATCATATGGGAATACAAGGGGAAAACTAGGTGTGTTGTGGAAGGGTGGAAGGTCAGTGGTGGGATATGTTTAAACATGAGAAAACGGCCGATCTTGTGTACACGATAGGCCCCTTCCAGAGGAAGGGACTGCAGGTGGTCAATGCCAGTGCGGGGCCAGGATCAAGCGGGATCCTGGAGGAAGAGGAGGGGAAAATAGAAACATCTTCTAGAGAAGAGAAATATTATCAAATGATCAAAGGATAAATGGGAGGATTATTAAAGAGACTGAACATTTGAAATCGCCACTGAAGAAACTGAGTCATAGATCTTAACAAGAGCGTGCGGAGTTTGAGGTTTGCCGTTAGGACTATGACGAACTACATTGCAGGTGACTGAGTCTTTAGCTAGGTGGCATACAGGTGGAGACGCTAGGCTTGCTACGGTTTCCACGATTTTGAGATTTGAAGAGTTGGTGGAGTAGAATAACCGAAATCAGACCAGTTGAGGGTAATACTGAGGCTTTACTGAGACTAGGAAATAGAAGATGCTGGGAAATGAGTAAAAAATGAAGGGGCGGGGGATTGGCCATAGGAACCGCACATCTTGCTCAATTAGAAAAATGAGGCCGGGCGCAGTGGTGCCCACCTGTAGCCCCAGCTACTCAGGAGGCCAAGGCAGGAGGATGGCTTGAGCCCAGGAGTTTCAGTCCAGCCTGGGCAACACCGGGAGACCGGCTCCCCCCGCCCCCCAATCCCTAATATCTAAATTTAAAACAAAAAGACTAAAAGAAACAACTGCCAGAGTCTTATATAGTCATAGGTCGTAGTTGGACAGTCAGATATGTTCAGTTATAAAATTCATTTGGGTGAAGACAAGGTCTAGACCAGACCAGAGCTTTAAAGAAAAGTAGTGATATATTTCTGAGTAATAAAATACTAAATATTAAAGGAAATAAAGTTTGTAAATGTGGGAAACAAAAGGAAAATAAAATTACAGTCACCTTTGTTCCATCAATCAGATATGAAAATATTAATTTAGGTTTTTTAAATTATTTTTATATAGAGAGATACTTGTTTATAAGTGCGATATAAGCAAAATTGTGAAAACAATATACTCATTTATATACTGCTTTATGGGAACTTAAACATTTTTTTTAAGAATAACATTTCCACTTCCATTTCCTTATAGGCAAAAAAAAAATAAAAAATAATAACAGTGAGTGCTTACTTCCTTTCCTTCTTTTTTTTTTATTTTAGCGTATTATGGGGGTACAAGTGTTAAGGTTATATATATTGCCCATGCCCCTCTCCCCCCCCTCTTCCTTTCCTTCTTAAATCCTTTAGCAATTTTCTCTTTTTTTCACATACTACATCTGGATTATTTGCCTGTTAGTATTTTTCAAACTATATGAATTTTAATGGTTGCATAATAGTCTATTTTGTGGGTCTTCAGTATCAACCATCAGTTTCTTATGGAAGGACATTTGTGTTATTTACTATGTTTCATTTTTATAAACAATATAATTATGTATCACAAACATTATTATTCATATTATATCAATTTATAATTCAAATGAGAAGTGTTGCCTTATTGTTTAAACAGAATTCCTTGTTTGACTGTAGACCATAAGAGCCCCATTCCAGAGAGGGTTCTACCACCCAGAAGTAAGAAATGCTGCTCATTGAGGCCAAGAAGAATCTAGACAGACAGGCCTGGGAATGGGGCTCCCCATTCCATCTATTAACATCAGACCATACCCTTTTTATCAATATCATATTTCTACATGGCTGTCCATGTATTGTTGAACTTAAGCATAAAAATGGGCAGTTTCCCCTATACCTTTGGTCTTTATTCTGAAGGCTCTCGTGCATACAGTTTAAATACATTTGTATGCCTTTTCTCCTGTTAATCAATTTGCCCCATATCAGCAGTTTTTCAATGAACCTTTAGGGGGCCAAAGGCCTTGGTCCCTATGTAACCGAATTAATATTAAATCATCATCAAACACTTTTAAACATTGTACCAAAATCAAAATGGAACAATTCTAGTGGGCCCTCATTTTAAAATGTGTTCTATTGTCCTTGAAGTCCAATTCATAAAAGCTAGCACATTTCATTTGCCTTGTGGTATTTATATTACATTTGGGTATCACCTAACCTTTAAAAACAAACGTCATATATTTTTTTAGCTCATGTCCAGAGGTTTTACTTCACGCACAAAATAAGCATGTACTAAGTTATAGCTATAAAAGTCTTCAGTCTTCTATATTATATTTTTTCATATCTGCCCTATTCACACAAAAAGAGAAAAACAAAGTCAATGTTTTGGAGTTATCTGTCGGACAGAGTTATAAGATGTGATGAAGTGTTCTGCCAAAATTCAGTCTGTGCAAACATTAGGTTTCCTGCATGGACTTGATTAGGATCACAAATTATTTTTCCCTTGCCTGCTGTTTGTCATTATGGAAGCAACCTAATATGGCTCCCAGGAATTTAACTGATGTATATTAATTTGTTAGAGGTGAATGATTCTAGAAGTTCTTATTTGACATGTCCAATTAGCACCTTTTTGGAAGAGAAAACACCACTACTTGAGGGTGTTGCACCCTTTGATTTCTTTTTTTCTGAGACAGAGTCTCACTTTGTTGTCAGAGCTAGAGTGCCATGGCATTAGCCTAGCTCACAGCAACTCAGACTCCTGGGTTCCATCAATCCCTCTGCCTCAGCCTCTCAAGTAGCTGGGACTACAGGCCTATGCCACGATGCCTGACTAATTTTGCTATTTTTTGTAGAGATGGGCTCTTGCTCTTGCTCAGACAATCCTGCCTCAGCCTCCCAGAGTGCTAGAATTACAGGCATGAGCCATCGTGTCTGGCCTGATAGTAGATTTTTAAAAATTATTTTTGATGAATCCTCTTCTTAACCTTTTACTAAAAAACAAACTGGTGAACAATCCTTGCTGTATTTCCTAGCCTTGATATCACAGAAGACATGATCACAAGCCCAGATCCCGGACTGAGCTAATATTTCCACACCCATCCTTTTTTAACACCATGATATCTGAAACCTTGGCAAATCTAAACATAAGACCATATTCTGTCAATTACAATCTCTGAAGACCACCCTTATTTAAACATATTATGTCAAAAGTAAAACAGCTACTTATTAATCATATTAGTTATATTATTTCAATACCATTTTAATTTATTGCCTTATATATATTTAGTATTTAGAGTATATACTTTTATTTAATAAAAAGGTTAAAACTTAGATTTATGGCTTTTCATATATATATAAACATATGTGATCCAAAATTGTTTATATATTTTGCTTGTACACAAAAATGACTGATTTTGCTTATAAAACATGTAATAGCAAACTATTTCAGTCCTCATATTCTTTGAATACAAAATTTCTCAGGCATAATTGCTTTTGAGCACCTGTCAAAGATTATTTCCTCCTTTATAAGGAACCTAACAGGGAGATGACAGAATGTGCCCATTCACAGTGACTTGGGAAACAAAGTTTATACACTGTAGGTAAGAAGTTATTATTAATGTGTATGGCTTCTCCACTAAGTATCGATTGTTATTGCTGCTGTTTTATTTTTGATAGTCATAAAAATGTCATGGTTTTATTTTCTGACATGAATTAAGTTTAGGACATGATGATTTGAAGCTGTCTTCCCAGAAATACCATTAACAAAAACAATGAGTCATGTATCTGAGAAGCAGCCTGTAAGCAAATTGATCTGTGGCTGTTAATCAGTTCCAAGAAACAAAGTTGGATCCTCTGGCAGGGTGCCTGTTTTAGCTGAGAAGCATTGAACAGCGACAGGAGGGTTCTGCTAGTGGAGGCACGAGCTTTCCCTTTTTCTGTCTGTCAGTTTTTTCAGCATTCAGTATAAAATGCAGAACCACCATTTGCTCATTTTCTCAGAGGCCTAAAATTTTCTTTTTCAGTTCCAGTTGTTAAAAAAAAACTCTAATTGTTTCATTTTGTCAGTTTTGAGCTCATCAGAACTGGTTCTATTCCTGTGTTCAGCTTTGAGAATGTAGGCCTTCCAACAAACAGCTGTTAGTAAAAAGAATTTTGGAAATATATTTTCCCTCTCCTGAAACTACAAAAAAGTAGATAAGGTTCTACATCATCAATTGGTCCTTGCATGAACTGTCCACCCTCCTTTTAAGGCCAATACCTCCCATTTTGAATTTGATTTAATCCTCTCTGGCTGCCCAAGGAAATTATTCTAATAATTCTCACAGCTATTTACTGTATTATTAACATTTCCCTCAGTACTTGGTCTTTCCTATTAGCATACAAAGATGCTATTAATTCCGAATTCTAGAGCCTTCTGAAAGTAGTTTATCATGCTGGGCAGGAGGCTGAGCCAAGAGGATCTCTTGAGCCCAGGAATTTGAATCCAGTCTGGGCAACATAATAAGGCCCCATCTCAAAAAAAAAAAACCAAAATGAAAGTAATATATCTGGTAGTAGGATATCCTGATAGGGAATATTTAATAATAAGCCATTGAAATTGCTTAATCAATTAAAAAAAGAGAGAGATTTTTCCCAAT